GTCTGGTCCATAACAGACTGCGCGGATGTGAACAGAGCCCAGAAATACTATAGGGGATACATTGGGATCCTTTTCTGGTCCGGTAACAAACCCTTCTCATCTGGGCATGATCCGGACATGATGTGAACAAGCCCTTATCCTGCCAGCTTCGACCTGAAATTAACAAATTTTTATGTGGTCTCAATCTTTGCACTATAGCCTACTGAAGTTAACTAAAGCGTGGAGAAACAAAACAATTTAAAAACAATACTTTTAATGGGAACACAATACTAACCATTGGAGGAATGAAGGAGGCTTAGCAGAGTGTCCAGAAGGTACCGGATAATCGTGCGCAGCTGTTCAGTTGAAGATGTATGGATAAGTTCTCTAGAATCATATTGCTCCCGCAGAGTTTTTCTGCTCATGCCAAGAGCCACCTTCAGTCTTTGAACAGCATGATAAGCCAGGTTCAACTGGAGTTGTAGTTGTATGCAGTCCTGGTAAGCCGAAAAAACTCTGCTGTCTTCTTCTACAGCTTTATCTGGTTTTCTCAGAAAATACTGTGCATTGTTTGCGCTGTTCAGTGGAGGAAGATCAATACTCTGGAGAAGAGTCTCTAATCGATGGCAAGCAAGATTATACCTGTCCAATGAAAACAAAAGCACTAGTCACATTGGTGTAAGAGTAACATGAGCAATAAAGCAAGTAATCCTAAAAGCATAGACTTTCATATATTGCTGCATATGCACCATGGCCCTCATCACTTTGTTTTCACTTTTTCTGCATCGCTCCAGCTGTGCAGCTTAAAGTGCCCTGTGCCCAAACTATCTACATATGGGACTATGAAGATTCTAGCAAAAATAAAGTAATGGGAAAACCAGAACAAGATATTAGTATCTGTGGTTTGAACTTTGACAATATATTTCTCTACAATGCCTATTATACAAAAGGTGAATGAGCGCTTATGTTAAAATAATTTTACTGTTTGTTTAGAATAGGATTTTTATTTTCTCACCGTAAAATCATTTTCCAGTATACAATTGATGGACACAGCTTGATGATTAGTAACCTAGGGGTTTTACTGCTGCTTAACGAAAGGGACACTAGGGACACAAACTGAAGTTAGGCCCCTTGGGACTATAAGTCCCCCCACCTTACACATACTTAGTTGTAGAAAGAAGTCCATGATTGTATATGAAAAAAAAAAAAAGTTAAAGCAAGGGCATTAAAAAGTTGCTTGTAGAATCTAAATCGGCACACAGAGCATCTGCGGAAGCAACCACATTGACCTTGTAAAACCTTAGCGAAATGTGTGTAGAAGACCAGGTCCTAGCCTCACAAATCTGTAAAAGCCCAAGAAACACTCACTGCTCTAGAAGAGTGGGCTAAATGTGAAAAGGAGGCAACCTTTGGGCCTGCACAATAATCTGTCAAATCTGGAAAGTGAACCTGGAAGCCAGAGAACCTCTTTTAGGACCTACATGAAAGAAAATAATCAGTATAAATAAAAGAAACAGTGGAAAAAAGTAAACCCTGATAGCCCTCACCACATCCAGGCAATGGGAAAAAAATCTTTGGGGTGAACTGCAGCTGAACACAGAGAAGGCAATGCAAAATTCTCAAAAAAAGTAAAAAGCAGAAATCACTTGGGGTAAAAGGAGGATCTTGGTCTCCAAACAACCTTATCCTTATGGAAGATCAAATGAGGCTCCCTACAGGAGAATGTTGATCAATGAAAAACCCTACTGGCTGATGTGATTCTCATAAGAAATCCTACTATAGGTGTAGCAATGCCAAGCTTGAAAGAAGGTCTCTGTAGCACTGACAACCCTAAATTTAAATCTCAAGACAGTGAGGGAGACCAAACAGGGAAAGCAACATACCGTATATACTCGAGTATAAGCCGTCCCGAATATAAGCCGAGGTACCTAATTTTACCACAAAAAAACTGGGAAAAAGTATTGACCCGAATATAAGCCGAGGGTGGGAAATGAGGCAGCTAATGGTAGATAGATACCAATAAAATTACATGAATATTTAAAAGAAAAACAATAACCTAGCTCTGTAAGTGGAAAAGGGGGTACAGGGCTACATATTATGTACTACGGATCATTTAACCCATTCATATTAGCAGAGGATAATTGTAAATCTATTGTTCAGTGCATTCTATATGTAGTATATAGTACATGTACATATAGAGTGCCTGCAACAATACATTTACAATGATCCTCTGCTAACATGAATGGGTTAAATGATCCATTGTAGTGGAGCCCTTTGGTACTTGGAACACAGACAAATTTTGTCAACGCTGACAGCAGGACTGTCGTAGAGTGAACATCGCTAGACTTAATGAACTCAGAAAACCTGCGCTCTTAGGCCAACTGGAAAGTCTTCAACTAACCAGCTTGAATCTACCAGTAACTGTTGATAGAAGAAACATTTTCCAATTTGCAAAAAAAAAAAAATGTAGCAGAATGGCAAGAGACATCCATTTTCCTAAACACACTAAACTAAGCAGGTGTGAGGTAGGAAGGGTTCTAGCCTCAAGGAGGCTCGCAATCAGTTTTCTGTGTTTAGTGTCCATTTTTCTTCTAGACAGCAACATAACCCTAGATTGATTATTTCATCATGCTGTGCCCCTAAAATGTATGACAGAGAAATATAAATACTTTTTATACAGTATGCATAGTCTGAGCACAGGGTCACTTTAAGGCTTGGCGCACGGTGTAATTGCAAGCCTGCTTACAGGAGTTGAACTCAGGGACTATAGAGTGTCTCCCACCTCCCCCTTACACAGCCAGTGCAGCTCAAGGTAGTTAACAGGAAAGAAAACAGGGATTGTTTTGTTTTTTTAAAGATTTTAGAATAAGCAAATCATATTATATTGTGCCATACATTAATTTGCACATAGATGACTAAATGTGTACATATTGTTTCTCTAACTATGCAAATACAAGTTTAGGGGTATGTTGATTTGTAAAGAGAAATAATATTGAATGACTACAAAACCTACCTGCACTGGATATCTTCCTGGAGAGCTACCATCATTGTCAGATGCTGGTCAATGTCAGGTTGACTTGCTGATTCACTTTCACCTCTGAGTGGGTCATGCATGAGTTTCAGTTCACTCTCCCAAGGTAAAATGTAGGTATGGCCGTAATAAAAGCCTAGCGGAATTTTGGCCCTGGCATTTGTACTTCCATAACGGCCAATAACAGTGATCTAGAAGCAATGAAATATCCAGTGAAAACTACATACATTTGCAACAGATGCATTCTCTTCATAAGTAAACACAAGTAAAAAAACAAAAAACACTATACACAAAACACTTTACATACAAGAGGGTGAGAAGATATGGAATATTATAATTTTCTGGCTGTTTGGTTGAGTTCTGTCCATACTGGTTCAAGACTGCATAGATAAATTGCTAGGGACTGTTACAAGTTAAAACACAATCGTCTCAGGCAGGGACTAATGTAAACGGTGAAAAAGTTGACTAAAGTTGTAATACATGTTGGACACTAAAAATTGATACAGGTAATTGAGAGTTGCACATACCATAACATTTCTGAACATAAAGTATGGTTATATTCCATCTCGTACCTCTCCATGTTAACATACGGAGCACCACTTGTTGCTTGCAGTTAATAGGACTGGGAGTTTTAATTCTACAATTTAGATCAAGCACCAGCAAATACAATGGTTCTCTATGTGCAGATATGTGCATGAGAACCACTATTTTAACACTGCATTACAATAAATAAGGCTAATTATTTAGTTCCTACTAATACACTGCCAAAATATTATGCAGCATTATAGAGAGTAAATACTTCAGTTTCTTAGACTTATGGAGCTTAATGTCTCTACCATACATGCGCAGTCACATACACCAGAATGACAAAAAACAGAGCCTTGTTTTTACTTACAATGGGAAGTTGGAGTGGACCACTTCCTTCAAAACATTTTTCAAATAGTTATTCACCTAAACAATAAATGCTTTTTCTTTGTCTACTGAGGGACAAAGGAAGACTGTAATCTTTGGGGTTAGAGTGCCACCTAAATGAAGAATTAGACACTAGCACAAAAAAAAAAAAAAGAAGTAGCCCAGGTAGTGTCCCAGCAAGATGAACACCTATTTCTAAGCTCTGCTGAGAAAAGACTAACTCTTTGCCAGCACTATTTTTTCATCAAACAAAACATTGCTGCTAGAGCTAAAATACTGCATCTAAGATAGCTATTCAGAGCGTCAGGGCCTGGACATAGCTGCAACCGTTGCAACCCTGGTAGTTCTGCCACTGACTCCAAGCTTCAGCTTGGGCCTTGGAGTGTCATGATCAGATGCCACTGGACATTGCAGGGAAACCCTGGAAGTGGCTTTCAGGCAAGGGCACATTAAGGTCCTTTCCAGACTACATCTAGTAAGTCCAGAGCCTGATTCAATGAGTAGGTCGTTCAGGCTGAATGCTGGTAGTTACCTCACGGTTTTAATCACTGGATGCTCCTAAATTTCCATTTTCTGCAAGTCCCTAGTAAAAGATGGGGTTAAAGCTGAGTGATTGAGCGCTAGTGCTATCTGCTGGGTAGAGTAAAGCATTTCCCAGCTGCTACTCTGTCTTTACCAAGAGCCACACAGGGGAACTCCAATCTTTGGTCTGTTCCTGCTGCCCAACTAAAATGACTAAGGTTACCACTGGCCATCTAACCCGTCAATCGGCTTCCAGAGTTTGCCAACTTTAAATGCAGCGGCCACAAATGATTTCTCCCCCTTCCATTCTGTATCAGAACTGCATGCAGCCTTCGCAAGCGTCATACCCTTAACCACTGAGGCGCTTTCTGATTTCGAGTCTCTCCAGTCCCTGCCAGACAAACCTGGCCCTAAGAAGTCACAGTCTTCTGCCATCACCCTCAAACTTAGAGAGCCAATTTGGGTTCTTATTGACAAAGTACACACCACTCTAAAGCTAGAAGATCAGCCTGTTGCTGCCACCAGTGCTGTTCCGAGTCTAAGGTCTTTTAGAGCTCCTAAGACAGCCAAGACCTTTCCGATGCACAACCTTTCTTTATGCAAACTGAAAACACCTAGACAAGATGCACATATTAGCCTTGAATCCATTTGAGGAGGACTTTGTTAAAAAAATGGTCTATCCCTTCTGTGGACCCAGCAATGTTCTGGCTAACTAAAGAGACCACTATCCCAGTGGAAGGTGTACTGGTCTTTAAGGACCCCATTAATAACCAGTTGGAGGCACTCTCTAAGCCCTATTCTCGCCGGCAGGTTCTTTACACTGTTCTAGCTGTGACCTTGATTTGCCAAATATTGAGTGCTGCCTAAGGTTAACAGAAAGAATCTGATAACTAGGGATGCATCGATACTGGGCATTTTCAGGAGTACTTGTGAAAATGCGCCGATACCAGCTAATTCAATTTTTTTTAAATCCGAACGGCTGCCATAAGGTCCCGTGCTTGCTGGGAACCTAGCAGCGCCTGTTTACAGTGCCAGTCTGGCCGCACATCTCCTCCTCCTACCCCTTCCCGCACAGCCATGGCGAGACCCGGCACAGCCCTGGGGAGACCTGCACCCGCCGTGCACAGCCCTGGGGAGACCTGCACCCACCTGTGCACCGCTGGTGGTATTCTGCATTGCTATATCATGTATTGCTGGGGTTTATAGTCCTCCCACAGCTTGGAGTCAGTGGCAGAACTACCAGGGTCGCAGCGGTTGCAGCTACGTCCAAGCCCTGGCGCTCCACCACTGTCCTAAAATCATTAGTCTGTATTGTTTTAGAAAAACTGTCAAATAAGAAAAAAAAAAAAAGGTATCGGTAATTGCGATTGGCAAATGGTATTGGCGAGCATTGGTACTCACACTAGGTCTCGGAAAAATTGTATCGGTGCAACCCTTCTGATAACTATTGCGATTGATCCCTTGGTCATAGGACATCTAAAGCAAACGGCTGTAGCCCCACAGCTACAATTCTCATGGTCTGTTGGAGGTTTCGAGTCTAATTTCCTACATAGTGTGGCTAAACTTTTGGACTGCAGAACGTTACTTCACTTGGTTTTCAGATCAAGTGAAGATCAATACACCCATGTATTTCAGCCTGTAAACAATCTCCCTTCAGCTGAAGGTTAAGAAAAGTCCTTTTTCATTACTCTACGTTAGCCAACTCAAGTCCAAATCCAAGCCTTAGGTTCCAGTACCTCCGCAAGGCATGAAGCTTCAAGTAAGAAATTTCATCTTCAGAGGGTGTGTCCCCTCTTTTGAAACTAGGGGCCATCTGTTAGCAGACACCTCTACATAGCCCTGACTGTCCAGCATCTCAGATGCTAGGGTACAGGAGATTGTTTCCAGGGGCTACAAGCTAGAGGTTCACTCAAAGCCGCCTTCTCGGTTATCACTTCAAACCTTCCCATGTCACCACGCAGATTAGCAGATCCCCAGGTAGCCCTATGGGGTCTTCTAGATCAGTGTGGCTTGGCCCAGTCCCTGTGGCAGAATATTTTCAGGAGTTTAATTCCAACCTGCCCACAGTTCCCAAACCCAAAGGATCTAAAAACTCTAAATGTCTTCACTCAAGCTCAGAAATTCCATGGGGAATTTACCAGATCTGTGATCAGGGAGACTTCCCAGCGTCTCTGAAAATCAAGAACATTTACCTACATGTTCCCATCTTGCCATGCACCAAGCTAATTCTTTGCTTTGCAGTGGGGTCCATAAACTCACTGGTTTGCCATTCGGCATCTTGTCTGCATCTCTATGTGTATACCAAGGTGCTAGCTCCAGTACTAACCTTGTTCCACTCTCAGGGCATTCCATTCTGGAATACCTAGACCACCTCCTTCTGGGAACTGAGGGCGAAAGGTTGTGGCAGAAAATATAGCCCTGACGGCCAAGACTTTGCAGAGGTTTCACTGGATCCTGAGCTTTCAGATATCAGTGCTAGAACGGAATCATCACTTGGGAGTAGAGTATCTGGGCCTAGCCCTAAGCACAGCTCAAGCCAGAGTTTTTCTCCTCAAGGGGAAACTTTAATCCCACTGCTCGCAGACTCTTACTCTTCCATCCAGGAATCGCCTGACTCACTTTCGCAAGTGTCCTTGGGTTCATGATGGGCTCTTTGAAAATGGCCCCATTCGGTGATGCAGTGTTTTTCCACCATACTTTTTGGAATTATAACCAAAAAGTTGAATCTAGGTCACATTTCCCCACATGCTTTTGACAGACATGCTGTACATTTTGGAAAATGTAGCCAGGCTTGGATGTTTTTCTTACTAAGAAAAAGCTCCCGTCTTGCCACTCTACCCTACACAACAACACTCTTCAAAAACTACCTTTTGCTCTGAAGCTATTCCCCTATCGACTTTTACGCACAAGGTTGCGTTCCTTGCTGCCATCACTTTTGGACAAAAACGTTTAAGACTTTCGATCCAACATGGGGACATCTCGTCCTTTTGGTTTAGGAACAGTGTAAATGTTTTGAATAAAAATCTTTTTCCATCAGCACAGTGTCAAATACTCCTTAGTTCAGAAGGTCTGCAAAAGCAGGATTAAGGTCTGCTAGGCTGAGCAGGGACACTGGCAGGTTGGACAACACAAAGCAGGGAGGAGGCAATAGTCAAAACTCTAGCTTGTAGCCTGTTGAAACCACATCCTGTAACCAGCATGCTGTCTGCCCAGGTATTAGCAAATACCAACAGATGTCACCCACTACAAAGGAAAGGTAAAGTGTCACATAATGCTGAACAGGACTTGTCTGCAGGCATGAAGGATTTAGAGGCCCAAGGTTTGCGGTTGTACTGGGCACCTCGCTCAGGCTTAGCTTTGGATTGCCAAGCCTGGGGAGAAATAAAATAAACTGATTTTGTCTTTACATGAAGGAGAAGATTTGCAAGTTTAATGCTTCGGCTTTTGTTGAGGTGGTACTCATACCACCCATGACGGTAATTATGGATTGTCTAGGGACACCAAAAAGACATCAACCCCCCAAAAAGGTTTTCTTCTTTCTACACTGCTGTTCTTCAGACCAACAATTCAGCCAAGTTGATCATCTTATATTTCACAGACAGGACACTCACTCGGAAGAGAAGACTGATAACATGAACTTAAGAAACTAAACCGTCAAAGCAATCATGTAGGGATGAAGTCAAAAGCTGTAAGTGCTCTACAACTAAAGTCCTTACGGACTCTAAAGTTTCCGTAAAGACTATAGCCAGATCCTTTGACATAAAGCTGTGCACATTCCTCTAAGGTTTGACAGACTGACATCACAGCTATGGCAGGTTTCATAGAAAGGGCTGCAATTTGGAAAGAACTTCCAAACATTGATCAGTAGGTTCCTTAAACACTCGAGGATCCTTAATAGGAACAATCAGTGTTTTATTAAGACAGGATATCACTGGATCCACAGAGGGAGTGGCCCACTTCAGAAGAAAATCCTCATCAAATGGATAGTAGTCTGAAAATCATTTGGGAGAAGTAAAATGGTTTATCAGGAGTCTCCATACAGAACATGTTAAAGTAAGGCATGTCATGCACCAGAAATGTTTTGATAGTCTCGGGGCCTTTTGTGGATTTCAGACTGGTAACTGTACTAGTAGAAGCAACAGGCTGTTCCATTTTAAATGTGACTCACACAGCATCCATAAGGAGACAATATGGTATCTAGGCCTAAAAAGCCAAATCAGAGTCTCCGGGAGAAAATTAATTCATCAAGAATTTGAGACGCTCTATCAAACAGTATTCCCGCAGCAGAAGAGGCTCAGAGGCCAATATAATTGCAGTAATGAAGGTGGGGAAGGGAAGAGTAGAGGACTCGTTTAAGAAAAAATGTAATATCTTCAGAAAAAAAAAACAAAGAAGTATGGCTACTAAAGAGGGGCGACCTTTATTTAAAAAAAGACATTGATCTTCCTAGGATACTACCACAAAAACTCAAGCCTGCTGGGAGGGGGGAGTGATTATATCTGGGTGGCCAATGGCCTGCGTGCCATATCCTCCTTGTAGGTGGCACTATAACCCAATCATACCAGAACTGAGTCCTGTGTCCCATAAGGATAAAGAAATGCTATTATAATTATTCATTACCTTCATGAACCTGCAGACAGGGGGTGGCAACAAGTCGTGTAGTATTAGTGAATGGGTACTGATATCAGTTGCAACCACTAGTCTTCTGCCATCCACTTCCTCGCCCAAACTCCAAATATCAATAGACAAGGAGGCCAGATCACCACAGGTGGGAATGAGAATATCTGTAAGGAGAACAGGTCTGCCAAAATCCAATGTCACAAATCTCCTGGCACCTAAAGCAAAAAAAAGAATTACAAAGTAATTTCATAAAAACATATTTACAAGAAACAGCTCAAAAGAGGAGAAAATAATGCATTACAAAACGTTATAAACTGAACCAAAGCATAGTCGAACTCACCAGAATGCATTCTTTCTATAATAATAGACTGATGAGGAGGAGGCTGCAGAAAATGAGAGGCATGAGAGATCGCCAGTGCAAGACCTGAACCCAGCTGATTCTGAAGCACAGCAATAAGGTATGTTAGAACCAAGACAGACACAAACCATGTAAAACATTACTGCAAATACAAAAGGTGACAAAGCATAAAACCAAACTACGCATTAATATGTGAAAAAGGGATTTCCATGTTTTAGGACCCACTATGTACCTACCTGGAAAGGTCCATCTCTTTCACCTCCATAAATTTCAGGAAGTCAGAAGCTGCAATTCAGATGCAGTTACACTGAATGATTTAACTGACATTGCGAAATATTATTCGCTTTTAGCAAGAGGCGGCAGAGCTCCACCATTCAGTAACTAGTCATCTTCTGAAAACATGGAAATGCCAATTACAAGGAGTTCCACAAAGAGACCCCAAAATTAAGGTTACTGCTATCAGACAGAAAGTCAAAACATTTATAGCCTCTGAATAACATTTAAAAGAAAATGTAAATCGTTTGTAAACCCAACTATGGCTACCGGCTGGAATACTCATTTCCTTTTAGGAAGGGGAAAATTAGGATTTTTTTAACTCTCCATAAAATGCATTTCTAGTGCATTTAAGGACACAGTTTGGTAATAAGCAACCTAAGGCTTTACTGCACACTACATCAGAAATGGAACATAGAAAATAAAATGGCCAGCCCCATTGAGGCTTTAACCCTTCCCACCTACCCAGTTTTAAAAAGCAGTCCAAAGAGAGAATGGCATATGAGGGGAGGAAGAATAAAACCCTATTTTCTCTCTGGTCCATTAAGGGACACAGCTTGATAATGAGTAACCTAGTGACTTCCAAAAGCAGTCAAAACTGTGGGGTGGGCATAGCTAAACACCACAGGCAAACCAGCCAAGACAAAAAAAAAAGAAGAGAAACACATGGGCATTGAAGAGCTGCTGCAGAACCACTTCAAGCTCATTACTTTGATAGACTGCAATCTCAATACAAATAAGTAAACTAAATGTGAGATTGGAGTCTATTACGAGAGCGAGCTTGGAGCAGTGGTTACTTTACAACATACATGGGGACCATGGGGAATCACCGCATGAATGCAGAAATGATTTGAGTATCTGCAGAGTAATACACAAATAAGGTACATTTTTGCGAATAGTTAAAAGGTGCTTGAACGCATTTTTAGGTTTTAACTCCTGGGTTTAGTGTCACTAAGACAGCACCTAGTGAACTGCTGATACTAAACATGGTAACTGTGAATGTCTGAGCCTTATGCTTTTGGACATGGATGAATAGTTACAGGTATCATGAGATGGGGTCATTGGCGGCTATAAAAAGCTGAACTACTGAAACACTAAGGCCTTGTTCACACCAAATGCAGAGCAGATCCGCTCAGGTTTCTACACACGCAGTGCAGTGGGTTGTGCCGTGTTTTTGATGCGTTCCGGGCCGTTTTTGGTAAAAAAAAATGTTTTGTTTAACTGCCTCCGGGCCGGCCGTAGTAAAAAAATGGCCGGCCGGGAGCTCTCTAGATCTGAGCGGGCGTCTTTAGACAAGAAAGAAGATCCTACATGCGGCACGCAAGCGGGAAATGGCCGTTATTTAAAAACAACAGGCAGCAATGCCTGTTACCATACAAGCGATCCGCCGGCTGTAGAGCCGGCAGATCGCGTGTATGGGGTGCCGATCGGTTTTGGGGGGTCCTAGGTGACATTAGGGGCCCCCTGATGTCTGCATAAAGAGGACCTGTCACATATTTTGCTATCACATGGCGGAGTTTAATTAGACCCCGTATGCGATAGCTATAAAGTTTAGTGGAAAAAAAAAGCAAAGCCCCCCCCCCCCAATTTAAAGTTACATATAAAAAATAATTTAAAGTCCCAACCCATACATACATGCATGCAAACATGCGTCGGGGGCGAAGAGATGATTGCGCCCATTACATATCGCTGTGAATGTCGGAGTTAGAGCAATAAGTCTAGGGCCAATCAATCACTGATAAAAGGTGCCCATACACCTAAAAAAACTGGGCAATAATAAATGTTTCCTAACAATGTAAAAAAAAACAACTTATTTTTAAAAAAATTTCTGTAATTTTTCCTAATTATAATAAAAAATAAAACCCGTAGTGGTGATTAATTACCACCAAAGGAAAGCTCTATCTGTCCCCCAAAAAATAATTTCAGTACAGTGTTGCATGACGGAATAAACGTCAGTCAAAGTACTGCAGCGCTGAACACTGAATAATGGCCTGGCCAGGAAGGGGGTCTAAACACCTGGTCTTGAAGTGGTTAACATGGGCTTTCAGTGCGCTCCAGGCATTTACATGCGTTTTTGATGCGTTTGCATGCGTTCCAGAGCAGGTAAAATAGGGCTTGCTGCAGTTTTTCCACCTGCTCTGGATCTGCATGCTGCGATGTGAACTGGAGCAAAAAATACCATTGGAATACATTAGACGCAGTTCTGATCCGGTCTGCAACTGCTCTGCTCCTGGAACGCGTTTGGTTTGAACAAGGCCTAAGCAGATAGGATCTTCTTTCTTGTATACGAGCGTCAATCTCCGATATTTAACAGTTGCGCAAAATTTTTTTAACATTGAACATTTTATTAGCCAAAAACCCACAAATTGCAACACAAAGTGCAAGCAGTAAGGGCGCTTAAAAAAACAAAAGCTCTTTATGACCTCTCAAGCTGATTTTAATGTGGCTCATGCCGAAAGAGGACAAAACAAAAAAACTCTCTAGAGCTGGTTTTAGTAAGTTAACAGATTAGAAACACCTGCTGTATGTTTACATCAGAGGCCTGGCAGGCTGTCAAGATGTGCCCTCTCTGAAATTTAACTCACATTTCTCTACAATACTTATAGGCACAGAGATGCATGAAGTGCAAGTTCTGGGTACAAGTTCACTTTACAAAGCACAACCTCAGAAGTAACAAAAAATATTTAAATGTTTAAAAACAAACGCTATAAAATAAAATGTGAAAAAGTATATCCGAGTATACCAAAATATATCATAACCAAAAGGAAAACAAATCATGCACTTTGAAATGTATAGGGGTTTATAGCATGAATTTACACCCTGATTAATATATGAAAAGAAAACAGTTTTAAATTTGCAAAAGAATGAAAACAAAAAACAAAAAACATTTACCCCTCTAGGTTTGTTAGCATTCTTTCCATGTGAAGTCAAGATAGCAGGCGGAGAATCAATGACTGTGCCCGGGAAAAGCTGAGCCAGCTCTGCATTGATGGCAGCTGACACTGCTTCATTGGGTGGAGTTAGAGGTGGGGTCATGAAGAGAGGCGTTGTTTTTGGAGTGGGCGGAATGACATCAGATGGATGGATAAAGAATCCTGGAGCAGCCACTGGATTGGGAGGCACAGAGTTGTGGATAGGACCTGCAGCTGAAGCAGCTGCAGCAGCTGCTGCTGTCGTCTGGTGCAACTTGGCCTCCAGTTTTGCCTTCTGGAAAGAATAAGCCATTAAAAAATACCAAACCAAAAGTAAACATGGACAGTAGCTCCTAAAATTAAAATAAACCTCACATTATCTGTTATTTAAATAAAAACACGTGCTTTGAGAAGCTTGTATTAATTTACATACTCTAGCATTAGCCGTTTTAGCCACATGAGTAACATATTAGGAGATCTTGTTTCTGGTATTCACTGTGGCTACTGAAGCATCATGTAAAAAGGAAGAAATTATACTATATCAATATATACTAGGGATGCACTAATACTAGTATTGGTGACAATACTGATTATTTGGGTTAGTACTTCTACTCGCCCAAATGCTCCAATACTTACCTCCGATACCAGAACTTCCGGTCAGTGCCGAGGGAGCATGGAGCCAGCTTCTTTTCCAATCAGGAAGCCCGGTGGCACGTAATAACAGTGATTGGTCAGGAAGCCGAGAACAAGTGAAGCCGTCTTCCTAGCCAGTCAGGAAGCCAGGAGGCAGGTCATGACATACTGGCCAACTTCCTGATAAGCTTGATTCCTAGCTACACTTATTGGTAGGAAGCATGTCTTCCTAACCAATCAGGAAGCAGGGCGGCACGTCATGACTCACGTCCCGGCTTCCTAATTGGTAAGGAAAACACACTGCCTAGAAACAAGTGAAGCCGGCTTCCTAGCCAATCAGGATGCGGGTCATAACGTGCCACATTGATATAACGTTGATATAACGACATAACGTTGATAGGCAGCCTGACTGTACGGCACCTCATGACTCGCCCGCATCGCTTCCTGATTGGTCAGGAAGCCAGGCAGCCTCGAAAAGTGAACTCTGTTCTTTTGCTAGAACACAGGCATCACAGGCAATCAGGAAGCCGGGCGACAGATCATGACCCGCCGCCCAACTTCCTGATAAGCAGGGCACAGGGCACCAGTACTCGGTATCGGCGGGTACCGAAAAAAAAAATATCAGTACTCGTACTCAATACCAAAAAAACGGTGCATCCCTAATATATACTAAGTTAACTATAGGAGTGATGTGAGGACACTGGGATTATGTAACTGCAAAAAATTTACAGCATTAGTATTTATAGTGAACTCCTCTTTGAAAGCTGCAATGAAAGAAAAGAGTTTCGACATCATGCCATTACTCTTAACTGTAAGACTTATCACATTTATTACAGAATAATAGGTAAAACCTATTAAGGAACTAAACTGATCTTTCAAGTCCTTCAAATTTTATGTAAAGTAATTTTTTTCTGTATTAGAGTAGAGAACAGCTAGACCCTTTGTCAGGTTTTTGTCACTTGGACAGAAAGTAAGGGAAAATCCAAAAATATTGAGAAACCTATGTTTATACTGTCGCCTACAAGAGAAATGGACACAGCACACAGAAAACTGAAGGCCAGCTGTCTAGAGGCTACATCCCCTACCATCTCACACCTCTTTGGTTTTAACAAGCAGTCTAGAAAGAAAACAATAGCATATAAGGAGAGGAAGCGGTGTCTCTGAATGGGCAGAGACATTTTTTCCTGTAAAATCCTTTTCTGTTTCACCAGTAGGAGTAGGTCACTACGCACGGAAAAAAAAAAAAAGTATAGCCCAGAGCACGTCAAACTGATTGGTAGTGGAGCTTCCTCCATGGACCAAATGTTCTATGTAGAAAGGAATGCTGTTACTTCTGCCCAGCCCCTGAGGTTGGCACCTCTAGACTTTACTTTCGAAGGAAGAGGTAGAAGGACTTCCCAGCAATGAGCAGAACCACCTCACTAGTGAGGCCTTGACGTGCCGCCTCACTCCGATCTGCCTGTCCAGCGATTAAGCAAACTTGCCCAACTTGGTCAGAATCTGTTGTGAAGAGTCTATGTGTGAGAAGTCAAAAGTTAAACAGGGACTCAGACCTAACACCTTAGTTTGACCTATACCCAGGATCATGGCCCAGGTACTCCTGGCAAAGAGATTGAGGTAGCATCAATTTATTCTTGTTCAAGACCCAGATGTATGCCTTCAAGGTATGCATGTGAACTCCAGGCTGACTTCCAAGATAGAGTGATATCCCACACTGTCTTCGTAAGGTTAGGACCAGAGGTAGAACTTTGGTGAAGATATAGGAGGGGATGATGCTAGGTAGAACGGGAAAGACTATAAAATTAGACATTTCCTGATGCTCAACAAAACTTTCTTGGGGTAGGCAAACTGGGGCATGCAAAAATGCATTCTTGATGTCGATGAATGCCAGAAAATCCCTCTGATGTAGAGATGCTACCACTGAATAGATGGACTCCATGTTAAATTTGTGGACTTTGACAAAGCGCCTTGGAGGTCCAGAATAAGTCAAACAAAAAAAAAACAAACCACAATGCCCTAGAGGAGTGGGCATTAACGGGAAAAATTATCAACTTTATTTCACAGCTCGAAGATCTGCACAATAACAGCAGATCTAAAAGAAAGATAACCACTTTTAGGAGCTTGACAGGAAATAAAAAAATAAATAAAAAATCAGTCTGCCTAAAAGGGGCAAAATGAAGAAAGGTAAATGAGAAAAGGTAAACCCCGGTGGCCCTCACCATATCCAGACAATGGAGAGAATAATTTATGCGTTACCAGGTGCCGGACACAGGGAAGGCTACACAATATCTTAAGAACGTGAAAAGCACAAACCTTTCGGGTAAAAAGAAGATTCTAGGTCTTAAAACATTCTTGTCTCTACATGACAATGCTGATAACTCAAAAACTTTTATGGCCAAAGTTATAGCCACAAGAAAGGCTAGTTTACAGAATGGCAATGCAAAAAAGGTGTCATGAGTAAGTTTGAAAAGAGGTCTAGGTAACACTGACAACAGTAAATTAAAATTTCAAGGTTGAAGTGGAGGCCTAATAGGGAAGGGGGGGAGGAGGAGAAGAGAGATACGGGACCAATTAGCAAAAAGACAGTGGTGTTCTACCCTTAACTGCACGAAAAAAACATGAAGAAACCACAGAAACGCACACCAGTGAAAATAAGTCATATATGTTCGATGGAGGATCAGTCGTTGAAATAACAAATATGGTAGAGGGTGTGGGCCAGCTAACAGAAGAACGAGGTTGTACTACACTCTCCAAAACGAGTCAGGACTTTGAGAATGACTGAAATGCTCTAGGTTTCTCTCCATGGAAGTGGATAAAAGTTTCAATACGTGCAATGCAAAGATTAGAGTATACTGATCCCACAGCTACCAGGGCATCCGCTGTGTCTGCCATCGGGTCCAGCGTCCTGGACACAAATTTGTGCAGCTTCTTGTGGACCCAACATGCTAGGAAATCTACATCTAGCATTCCCCAATGCAGACAAGTTCAGGAACAACTCCAGATGGAGACCCCATTGCCCCATATCCTGATGTTATTAGCGGGGGAAAAAAAGTCTGCCTGCTAGTTCTCAGGAAAGACTACCTCCATAATTTCTGCAAAACTCAGTGTCCCTTTAATGATTGACAAATCAACAACAGGGACAGAGACTAATCTAACCTGAACCGGATGACCGTTCACTAGGGGGTCCAGTGATTTCTTCAAGACGTACTTGGAAGTTTTTATTCCCTCTGGATACCAACAACCCTAAACAGGAGAACCAGGAAGTAACCCTAAACCCAGAAGACTGGTGCACCCAATGACTATATTCCAATGAAAGGGGGAAGCATGCCCTAGAAAAACACAGACAGAAGCCACCATGACAGACATTTTAGTTTGAGGATGTAACCGATCATCTTGTCCTGAGGGATCTGATATTCAGTTTTTGGAATGAAATTGAGCAAATGGGACCGATGTGAAGGGAGATACCATCAATCCCAGCATGCTCATGAAGCTCCGCAGGGAAGACCAACTTCCGGAATCCAGCGTGATTCTGCAGTTTTGTCAACTTTTCATGGGAAAGAAAGGTCTGCATCCTTGTCACATGTGGTGTTCAGAGAAAGAGGGAACTGCTCTCATAGCAATAGATTGTCCAAGTATTGATGACTGCAATGTTTCCAAGGTGAAGATGATCCAAAACCGTTTCAGGGACCTGTGCGCATACATTCAAGACAAGGCAGAAAGGAAGGGCCACAAACTGAGTGGCTGTCACCACCATCAAAGAAAAGAAATTGCTGATAATCTGGAAAGGTGGGAATATGTAAATGCACCCAAGCTGGAAGAATGGGAATGACAACTTCTTGGTTCAACGATTGCCAAGACACAGCAAGAGATGAAGCAAAAAAATCAAGATGGAAGACAGACAAAAAACTATTTAGTAACCTTCGCATACAACCTCCTTCACTGACTATGTAAACTGCCCAAACCTCCACAAAAGTCAGCTGAAGGCGTCTCCTCATCTAGGGAAGGGAGGCATTCCACTTGCTACAAAGAATCCTCTGGAGAATCCCCGAAAGAATCAAAATTAGTTATCTCTATGTAGATTCCACTGGAGAAGACTGTGGTGGGGTTTTAAACTCCCGTGATCAGAAGGAGCAACAACTTGCACCAACAGTCCTAAATCCTGCAGGTGGTTCCAACTAGGACTTTAGGAAGCACAGTGGAGAATTATTCCCTAACCAAACAACCTTTAAAAAACAGAGACAAGTAAAAAAGACAAGAAATTATAATGGAGGTTCGGGCAGAACACTGTAGGGACACCCAAAGAACATGTGTACAACCTGAGTGCAACAATAAAAAGGAGGGTTTTCACACATCCTAGCAAACAATGCCCAGCCTGATAACTTATATAAAAGACTATAGGCAAGTCCAATAGCAAAAAGGAGAGATTTGAATTCCCTCCCTTACTGCCCAAACAGTTACCGCAGCTATAGCGGGCAAACCCACATACATTGCTTCATTACAAATTGGATGAAAAGGTTTTTTAGCGCAGCATGGCCTGCTAATCATCCAGTGAGCCTTCCAAGAAGGGAACAAGTGAACTGACTAAGTTCTCGCTCAAAAACTCTGCAAGAAATCCCCAGAGATGCTAGCTGATCCAAATAGCGAAGTCCTGTGCTAATTGGAGCACAGACAGGTTTTCACTGCCAATAAGCAGGACTGTCACAGAGAAAATCTGTATACTTAGCTTACAGGTTTTTCCAGTTTATTAACTAGAGAGACTTGCAGGATTTCCAACATCTGACCTCTCTGGCAATATCTGGCATCTGAAAAATCTTACAATTTAAACAAAAAAGTACGCTTTCAGTTTACTATGACTAGTGTCCGTTTCTTTAAACAGCATTCCTCCTGTAAGGAGGTGACTGAATTGGTCTGCTGGTAAACTAGAAATCCTCTTTTTTGTACTCAGTGACATTTACATCATCAATACAGTACAATTTAAAAGGAAATCCCACAAGTTGAAGTTTGGAGTTGAGAAGCACTAAACTCAAACACTTCATTAATTCAAGATTTCATTGGGTTGTTGGCACTGAATATTCTCAATCTTTAGTTACATATAGAATAGTAATTTATTAATCTGGAATCAAGTCAGCTATATTAGGGCTGGGAAGCCCTTTTGTCTAAATTGTTCCCTCCTGACTGTAGATTGGAAACACACGAGGTGACTATCAAAACTGGAGCAGAAAGGATCTGAAGCAGTTGCTCATGGCAACCAATCCTCTTTCATTTTCAAAGCTTAACTGAAAAAACTGAAAAAACTCGAGAAGCTAATTAGTTGCCATGGGCAACTGCTCCAGACACCGTCTGCTTCAGTTTTAATAAATACCTCCCAGAGAGGAAATGGGGGAAATCAAGCACAGATATCACCATACACTTAATAATGGGAATTCTATACCTTTCAGAAAATCTAGTCTACAAACTTGTGTTGGACTGGGTGAAAGATAATGATCTTCTTTATGCTGAACACTGGAATTACAGGTTACCAAGAGTGACAGGAGTTATGTACCCGAGGGGTTCCCATTAAAAGAACTGCAAAGAGTGTAGCATGGTTATATTTGAACTCAATCTTATAATAGTTAAATTTGCTTAGATATGTCTGAATTTGTGGTGTAACTTATGGATCCAACAGATTGATTTACTGTATGTGCCATAAACATTATGTTAACTAGTTCATGTAAGCAGGTGTGGCTGGACAAACCAGATCAGAATGGTCATACTACAAACATATTTTCCAAGATATGCTTTTCTTGGAGCGAAAAAGACTGCTTTTTAAATGTTTTTGACTGTATAACTTGATACAGTTCATGAATAGGAAATAATACCAACTAGATAATTTTACGGGAAGGGCTTGCTCTTTGTTCAAAAGGCAATAGTGCAGGGAACAAAAGGAGACTGCGGCAGGATGCAGAAAAACGTCACAGTGCATGGAAACATGCACCGATCTTTTCAGCTGATGGAAAAACCCATTTACAGCAATGTGGATTTGGCATGTAGAGTGCAGTGATTGAACATTGGGAAAACGTCCTCCCACCTGTTGTTGAAGCTTCAGAAGCTGCTGCTGTTTCTCTTGCAATACCTGGAGCTGCTGCTCGGCTGAAGCCATGGCATGGGAGAGCGACTGCAAAGCAACCTGAGCTGCTGAGCTGAGAGCAGTGGAGGCTTCTCCCACAGTCCCAGCCGATAGACCACCCACTGCAGGAGTTACACCAAACGTGCTCACTGGCATGAAGCAAAAGAGAAATAAACAGCATGTAAATAAAACCACTATCTAGCAGAAGTTGGTTAAAATTTGTATAGCATGAAGAAAGCTTCCTCTTAAATATTTACAATAGGCTACAGGTTCAAATCCACTGCCTAAATTACTTTTTAACTCGCTTCAAAAGTAGCAATTAAACCTTTACACTACGGCCTCATTCACACTGCCGCGCGTATACGTGCGTATTGTACCATACGCAACACATGCAAATAAATGGCTCCATACACATAGCCGCGTATGGAGCCGTATATTTGCGTAGCGTATATATGCGCAAAAACAGAATGGAACAGATGCGTCCGGGCAGCGTATGTCTGCGTATTTACGCGCACATACGCACGTACAGCACATGAAAAATTCCATTACGAGTGATGCATTCTGGGATTGCATATACGCTCATATATACGTGCATAGACGCTCGTATATACACGCAGGCGCGCATATACAATTTTGCTTGCGTTGTGTGTGAATGAGGCCTACTACTTTGCATTTACTCTTGTAACAGTTCTGTATTTTCTGTTTTATATTATTTACTGCAATGTAGAATCTGAATACATTTAAAGAGTAAATATTCACTTCATGAATCACAATATTATTTACACTAACAGAATATCATTGCTCCCAAAGATTACCGCAACTGATCAATAACTGAAAAATATAGACGCTTTCACTAAGAAAATCCCTTCTGAGACCATGCTCTTATGGAAGCAGCTAGTTCCCAACTCCTGTGCGACATGTTCATTCAAGGGGCAGTGAAGTGTAAGCCTACTGAATGATTGTCCTGGAACTAGCATGAACCACATGAGTGAGAGGGGCTGCTTCCACAACATTCTGATCACTCAGATGATTTGCTGCAGGACAAAAAGGCTTAAAGAAAAAATACACACAGTATAGACATTAATACATAATATAAACATTAATACATCATTTGTAATATATATTTACCAAGAGGCATGATGGAGGGGTCTAGGGCATATGCTTATCTACATTATTTTTTGACACCAATTTCAGGTTTCAGACTTTGCACATCCTTTTCTCCTTTCACAGCAGTGGGAAAATGAGCAACATTCAACTCAGGTAAAATAGGCTGTAGGCTGAAAAGGTAATGCAGGGCTTTCCAAATCACTAAACCAGGGATAGGCAACCTCGGTACTCCAGAGTGGCATGGAAAGACAAACATGACTGCCAGAGACAATGTGATGTGTAGTTTTGCCACAGCTGAAGTGCCACGGTTGCCTACCCCGGAATTAAACTATTGTAATCGGGACGTGGTAGAATCTGCGCTTTACTTCACCAAACATTCTTTGACAATATTTATTTACACACACGTCTGTTGATTTCATTTCACTTAATGCAAGTCAGCAAGGATGAACCAATACCATAGCTTATGACAAATGATGTCAACACTTATTAACCCGTTTTGATTGTTCTGTGCTCTCACGGGGGAGATTCATCCGTTCTCTTGGTAACCATCCGCTCTCTTGGTAACCATCAGACAGGAAGTGGTGGGATATTCAAATTCATTTTACAGCTGTAACTAGAATAGGTGTCCCAATGGGAAGCACAACCCCCACTTTCTGTTCTGGAGATGAATCTCCAAAATAAACATATGTGAAAACATATGTAGTATTTTATTTTTAAATTGTATTGGGAAATATTACCTTAACTTCAAAATATGACTATGTATGACTGAATAGCGGTATTTATGCTGCCTGTTTCACATATGCTGCCCATCAAAGTAAGGGGGCACATGTGGGCAAGCATAGACTATGACCATGGTTCTCAACTGGTGGGTCGCCACGTGCCTTGCACTGCACTAGGGGAGATGCTCCTCAGCCCCCTGCTAGCACAGCTCTGTCAGCTCTCCCACCGAGAGGTTGAGAGATTGTTGTCTGTGGTTTAGTGTCTGTCAGGGTTTTTGAGGGCCCAATCAAACAAGTACAGTGCATCACACAGTACCGTGCGATTAACGCACTGTACCACACATTCTTGTGTGAGGTGCATTGCCATTCATTTAAATGGCACCCCATACGCACCTTCCACACTGAAACGCACAGTACCACAATGCTGTGCTTTCCAGTGCAGTGTGACTTCTGTCACGACTTATTGACCAAGGAGAAATGTGGATCCTCAGGTTACACAGGTTGAGAACCGCTGGACTAGGAGATCCACACAGCAGGTCAAGCGACTCCCAGCTGCCTTTAGAAAACTACAAGGGGCAGATACAGGCCAGTCACCCTGCACAAAAAGAGAGCAGCAGGGACTGGTCATTATTATAGGATACACCTACACAGAGGCAAAGTGCAAGAGTTGTTTTATGCTGCACTGCTACACAGATCTGGAAGAAAAACACAAAGTAGGCCAAGATTCAAGCAAGAATGCACATGCCCTTTGAATTTAAACATTATTTCTTTAGCGAAGTAATCAGCTTAAGAAAAAAAAAAACGGACCTTTCTGAATGCTAAAAACATTTAATTTAAAATACTTTAAAGCCAATAATACAAGGGAATGTCTATAACACGAGTATACAAAAAAATAAAAAAGCTTATGCTTAAAAAGTAAAGAAAAAAATGTATATACCAGTGAACGTACTTGCATCATCCCTCTCTATTCTGGTTCCGTCACTGGTAGATACGCAAGTAAAATGCAATGGTTCTACCTCCAGTAGGCCAGTCAAAGATGTAAAACTGCCCTCTGCAGCTGTGCAACTGTTAACTTTTCCATTACCTGTAAAGATATTTTAACATTAGTAGACCAGATGAGAAACACACAACTAGAATAAGGACTAACAGAATAGCTGTATGCAACAGGATCAGATAAACTCACATTCAAGAGCTACTATAGCATAGTAGAAGTCTGTTACACATGGACACTACACCAAATATGTCACATACTATACAAAATGATTTTAAAACCAAGATCAACGGACTCACCTAGGAGAACATCTGAAAGGTCAATTTCATCGGACTGTATACTGGAGCTATTGTTGTACACATTTTTACATGAAGAGCCGCTGACTTCCAAATCAAACAGTACAGGATCAAATGGAGAATTGTACAGCCCATATCTGTGGCAAAACATGCATTGCAAGAATCAGAATTTAAACTTATTTATATATAGTAACATACATCATAAATATGGAAAATGACAACGCTGCTACATAACACATACGATCCAATAAGTATGTAAATGCAAAGACTTCTTATTTCTGCATAAATCAAACCATACAATCCAGCAAATGCAGGAAGCAGGTCTGTGGACCTTTTACCTGACAGTCAGTAAAGGAAAGCCAATGTTTGTGTACAAGAAAAACAAAAATAGAATTATATGAATGTAAAGCAGTATTTCATTTTTTTTTTTTTAAATGGAACAAAACATAAGTAGTGCAGACACTGGACTAGTTACCTGGTCTGCAGCAAAGCTTCCATAGGTGTAAGCCGGTCCTGCAACTGTCTTGACACAGCAGTAAGAAGGGATGCACAGGTTGTGCTACAACCAGCTAGATCTTCATCTTTAACATAATTTAGCAGTACAAAATACCAATAAACAGCACCTACAGAAAGAAAGAAAAAATGAGAGCAAGCAAGAAACTAGTGATGTGGCGTAATGTGACAGAAAACAAGATTATACATACCTCCAGTGGCAGAAGAAGGCAGATATGTCATGTTCTCCAGCAAAGCCTTCAAAAGGACATAGCCAAAGCCTTGTTGATTTGGATCACATTTGCCATTGCTACTTGGAAGAAAATGTCAAAAACCTTTATCATACAATGCCCGCAAAGGATTGTTTTATGTAATTACTATCTTGTATATGAGTAACACATTCTGCAAACAATTATGCCAATTTCTGTAGCCGTAATTTCTTTTTTTTTTTCAACCTCTAGCATCAATTTTTTCTTAAATACCCAACATTGAAAAGTAGGCAGAGGAGGGAAAGTAGGTCCTTATCTGCCTACATGTTCCAGGTTACAAACTATTAACACAATAGGGCCAGGATGACAGTCACGCAACTAAAATGTTAGGTAGAGGTCAGCAATTGCAGCCTCCGTATTTTTCATTCCAGGTGTACTTAAAGTGGAGTCTTGATCTGAAACATCATGGGCAGTATGACACTTCAGCTATAGAAAGAGGAATGCGGTCATTTTACACCTTCAAACAGTTCATGTATTCTGAACACACACAAAAAAAAGTGCTCACCTAATACACAGAGCCAAGAATCGGGCACATTTGTGGGCAATACTTCTTCCAGCCTCAAAAAAACATGTGCGAACAATATCAGAAAGACACTTCCGTGTTTTAGACAGCAGGCTCTCTTTTCCTTCCCTTATACTTAAAAAGGAGAAAAAAAAGTTAAAGGATTTTTTCGAAGTTTGAATTCTTGAAAGTTATAAAACAAACAAAAAAACAAAAAATCAATCATCATATTCAAATCAATGCTTTAAATTATAATATACAGTCCTCTTTTGTACATGGAGAGCATACACTAGAAGAGTTAACAAGATTAAGGGCCCGTGCACACCCGATGCATTAGGTTGCACAGGGAGCACAGTCCTGCATAGATGAGGCAAACCACCTTGTTTACAATGTAGTTGCTACATGCAGTCATTTCTTTCACCGCAGCATGTTGAGACGCAGTATGCTGTATCACAATGCACTGTGGTGAAATTAACTGTCACTTTGTGCCACACTGGCACGGCTCCAAACACACGTTCAAACCAGCTGTGTTGGAAAGCAGATGGTGGTGGGCAGAGTCCTAGGAATTATGGAGAAGGCAGAAGTTCTTTAATCAGGCTTATCTGGATACAGGAATTTTGCAGTAATGTATTTTTTTAGTTACATTGGGGTCCCTTTTGCTCCCTTCTGCTTCAGGGTGTTAAAGCGAGTTGGGGAAAGGTAGCCTATTTAAAAGAAGAACTCTGGGATTATTATTGAAGGTGACATTAAAGTCAAAAAAACTTTTTTTCCCTCCCCCCAATGTTAATTAAAGCACTTACCTTGAATGATGTCTCTTAATCCGATCTTCCTCTTCTTTCCTGTCCTTTTCATCTGTCCCTCCAGCGCTGCGGCGGGTGTCCGATCCAGCGCTGACTCCTCTGTCCTTGCTGGCACTTCCTGTCCCACGGAGTCTGCATGCGGGTGCACGTGTCCATATACTTACCTTGCGTCTCTCCTCGTCTCCTGGCCAAAAATCTGAACTGCACATGCGCCTGCCCCAAGATGATTTGCAGCCGCCCAAGCATTTTTGGATTTTCAGACAGGAGCGCGCGGCGAAGACAGGGGTAAGTTTAAACAGCTTTTAAAGCGTTTAATTTAAAAAAGAAAAACTTTTTGCATATATCTACTACTTGCTAGCAGTAGATATATGCAAAAAAAACGTGAGGGTTTAGAAACCCTTTAAACATACCCTAGCAGAGGGGCAACCTGGGAGGACCCGCACCCCCAAACTGCAAGGGTTAAGTGCTCATTTTGGTCTAAGGGTGCACCGAAAGAAGATATATTCACCTAATCCTCAGTCCTGTGGCATTCATCGCTCTCTTTTCCACTGGGGCTATGGTATGTCCCTCTGTGTCCTCACATCTAATGCAAGTCAGTGGACCTGCATTATACGTGATGACGTCAGCAGTCCTTGGACTGCCGGAGCACAGGGAAGAAGAGGCTGCAGGGACTGGCCTAGCAGCCAGATGGGACCAAGGATCAGATGAGTTTACTTCCTTTATTTGGAGCACTTAGACCAGGGGTCAGCAACCTTAAACACTTAGAGCCATTTGGACCCGTTTCCCACAGAAAAGAAAACACCGGGAGCCACAAAACCCTTTTGACATCTAAAATGAAGATAACACGGCATATATCGTTTTTTACCTTTATGCTATTTATAGCATGTATATAGGTGTATGTGTGTTTAATAACGCACTGGACTCTGGACTTACCTGAGACCCCACAGAGCCCACCTGTGACCCTGCAGAGCACACCATAGATCCTGCACAGCCCATCTGAGACTCTCTATGGAGGGCTCTGCAGGGCCTTAGATGGGCTGGTCACCGGGGGGTCCCTTTCCCTGTACCTCCTCCCAACTCCTATTACCTGCTGCTGCTGGGGCCTGGCCTCCTCCACCCCCTCACCTGTCACCTATGCCATGCCGCCACTGGTACAGCTGATATTCATATAAGAGGCCCCCCAGGCTGCCCAGACCCCTCACATGGGTACCGGCTGCAGCCCCCTGATGGTGGTGTTCTATCAAAGTTTGTGACTACGTTACAATGTGTGACCGGTGATATGGTCACGCATTTCAATGTAATCCCGCCCAGTTTTTTGACGCTGGAATATGTGACCGCCAATAGGTCAAGCATTCCAACGCTTTCTCAGCTGTTCCAGGGCAGATCGGCATCGCAAATCGTATGTGCAGGAGAACCAATCTGTCATGGAACAGCTATTCGGTCCTGAAATGTCACTTCTATCTAACTGAGCGCGATCTCACATTCCACCCCACTCACAAAGTCGGATAGAAGTCACATTTCAGGACCGATCAACTGTTCCAGGGCAGATCGGTTCTCCTGCACACATATGATTTGTGATGCCGATCTGCCCTGGAACTGCTGAGAAAACGTTGGAATGATTCCCCTATTGATGGTCAAACATTGTGCAGTTACACCCGGACCTGGGCGTGGCATGTGACACACACGTCTCTTCCGGCCACGTCCCTAGTAACAGGCGGCGGGAGGGGAGGCGAGTCACAGGGCTCACAGCCTCAGGCCCTGGCGGTAGTTCCACCCCTGGACAGGGAGCTGCAGCAGAGGGATGAAAGAGCCACATGCGGCTTTGGAGCCACGGGTTGCTGACCCCTGCCCTAGACCAATATGAGCACTTAACCCTTGTAGTGCGAAGGCATGGCCACTGCAATGGTTAGTCTAATCAAGTGTTTTAGTCAATGGCATTAAAGCTTCACAAACAGAAGGGAAAAGAAATGTGCACAAGTGTAAACTGGATCAATTTATGCTAGTAAAATGTCTGTAGTAGATGTCGACAGCAAATTGAGTCAGAACATGCCTTTTGCTTTAAGACGTGTGTCACTGTAGAAGCAGCCTCCCGAGATGCCTAGACAAAATATAGTTTTTCTCAAAGCTTGAATAGGTAAAAAGGCCCATCCATGCACCCCACTTAGCAACAACCAGGTTTGCTGACACACTAGTGAGAGAAGGGGACAAGAAACGCCCATTCGCCACTATAAGGAATGGCTTTGAACAGTGCTTTAACAAAACAGTCCTGTAACAAAAGGTACATCGACAGCATGAAACCAAATCCAAAAACTATAACATGTAAAAAATGTATTTCTCTATGTAAAAAGAGAAGAGAGCCCAATCCTGACAGCTACCTACACAAGACATCCTGTATCTTTTTTTTGTGTGGATACGTTTATCACTGAACTCACTGGATATACAAGTCTTATATTCATGATTAGTAACCATACCTGCCCGGACCATTGGAATGTACACCTGCTAACCAGCAGAGGATGTCCAACACTAAGCTCTGTGCATGTTCACTAGCCAGTCCATCGTCTGTCTCTTTACAAAGTGTATTCAAAAGCTTCTCGTGAAAGTCTGAGAACTGCAGCATGGCACATCGTTGTACTCTTAACAAAAAAAAACACAAAGAAGAGCAAGACAGTGTTTAAATATTGAGTTTTCTATTTCATAAACAGAGCTTTAGACTCTATGCCCTTTAGTAACCAAACATGCATAACTGAAATAATTACACAAAAGTACCCACAACATCCAAGCAAATTTCAAGAGGAAGACTGGTATAATGGAAAGTAAGAGCTTGCGTTTTTATTCCGGCTCTACAGACTACAAAATCCCAGCAATACATTACATAGCAATGCAGAATAATGCCATCAGCTCTGCATTCAGATAACCTGGTACCATGGCTGGTATGAGGATGTATGATCTTCAGATAGCATTGTGCCGTTGCTGGGATGAGGACTAATGATCTGCAGTAAGATAACTGAGTACCGTGGCTGGGATCAGGAGAAATAATCAAGATATGATGCAATGTAGCAGTGCAGGAACAGAAGATCTGTACACGGAAAAAG